AGCAACAGGAGCTCACCCCGTCGCAGGGATTCAAACCGCTGACCTTCTGATCAGCAAGTCCTAGGTTCTGTGGTTTAACCCACAGTGCCACCCGCGTCCCTACAATGTCCCTAGGATATAGTTTATAAACTAGAGCTAGTAGGCATCTGGAATCCCACTGATTCCCAGAACTGTTAGAGGAGGACTTATTATAACATAACTTTTCCAAGCAGATGTGCTCATATGCTTTTCGAAAGAATTCTGCTAATACCAAAATTTATATTGGAATTGGCCCAATCAGTTCCATTTCTTTTAGACTGAATTCCTTTTGATGGATTTACCAAGCCATACATTCATCGTGACTTGAAGTTTCCCCTTGAAGTACAACGAATCCATGGAAAATGACACTGAATCTACTAAGGGCCTTCCCAGACAATAATTTGTCAGCACCCACAAAAATGCAGAAACTGAATTTTGCAGGGAACCAAGCTACTTTTCTCCAAGTTGCTACTCAGTAGCTGCAGAGGAATCCAGATGTCTTTTCTCAGTGTAATGCTTTTCTTGCAGGGAAATCTCTTTTCCAGTAAAATATTGCAGTATTTTGTTACTGGGGAAATGTCTTCATTTCTCCCCTAACTACTGCTTCCAGTACGGTTGTAAATTCTGTGGTTGTGCAAGTGTTGTGGATTTCTCTTAGTGGCAGCATGTATGGTTTTAGCCACATTCTAGAAGAACTTAAAAGAGGCAGACTTGAACATTAGGCAAGAGTAAGTGTGGCATATTGCTCTTATAGATAAAACTAAGTCTGGCAAGAGGAACAAAGCACAAAGAGAGTTTTGCTGGAGAATTATGGAGCTTTATTCCGTTCACAAATACGCCAGAAAAACAAAGAACAATTCCAAAGGTTATACTAACTTGTGGATCATTCCATAAGAACATGTTGAACAATAAGAACAGATTATGCTGTTATAAGTCGTGGTGTTTGTACAGGAATATAGGCTTTCATAAAATATTTTGGGTAGGGAGTCTCCAGGAAAACTTTGTTGGTTTTGTTGGGTATGGGTTACTTTTGTTTCTAGAATATATATATGCAAGGATTCTGAAAACAGAACTATTTTTTTATATAAAGAAAAATGGATATGAGTGCTGTGAGTACCGACTGAAAGTAGAGGACCCCTATAGAGATGTGCTTATTGCAGCCAAACTTTGAGGTGTTAGTCCAGTTTTACATTAAGGTGCATGCATAGTGCCCAGCTTGCATCTCATTCCAAGATATTTTCCTTCTCACATTCACTCTGTGCTTGACCAAAAGTGCTATGACTGTTTTATGGCCTAGATGTCTATAAATACAAATTTCCCGGTGCATTTTTGCAGGCAGATAATGTTACTTTAGAAAAAACGAGAATCAGGAAACAAACCTATGTACAGGTATACAGTGGTACCTCAGGTTACATACGCTTCAGGTTACATACGCTTCAGGTTACAGACTCCGCTAACCCAGAAATAGTCTTCAGGTTAAGAACTTTGCTTCAGGATGAGAACAGAAATCGTGCTCTGGCGGCGCAGCGGCAGCAGGAGGCCCCATTAGCTAAAATGGTGCTTCAGGTTAAGAACAGTTTCAGGTTCAGAACAGACCTCTGGAACAAATTAAGTACTTAACCCAAGGTACCACTGTATAAGCTGTTGGACCACTCCTACTCTTGCTTTTTGTCCTAAATGGTTTTGCTTGCCTTGATTTCCTGCACTGCTTTCTAAGTATAAGTGGAAATTCAGGGCATGGAGGAAAATATTTTGATTGTCCTCCAGCAGGTACTTAAGTGCAGCATGGTACTTCACAAAACTAAATATAGCATTATTCATGCCTTTAGACTTTGAATGGGCAAGTCTTTTTTTTTTTTTTTAAAGAATTCCCAGCATGGGGAGGGGGTAGATTTAGACTGTGACATGCAGGGAAGGGACTTTAGCTCCTTCTCCCTGCCATGCTCCAACTTCAGATTGGGAAGGGGGCATGACTGCTATTTGCTTTGGGAGGTAATCTCTCATATGTGCACCAATGGGAACTTTCCTTCCACTGCAAATTGCAACCATAGCTTGGACAAAGGGTTAAAGCTCCCTCCCACTGTGGTCCTGATCCAACTTGGCCAACACAAGGGCTGCAGGCCTGAATAATGTCATGTTTAGTTTGGCCCAGTGGTGGGCACATTCACTCAGTGGTTCTTTTTTGGGATGTCAGCTACATTCAGGATACCCAGTCCTTGCAGTAAACACGTGGAGGCCAAAAGGGTCATTCAGTCTCTTCTTCTTGGCCTTCTCCCAAAGACACACATGTCTCTTTGCTGTGGGTGGCAATCCTAATGGCATTTACTTGGTAATACTCCCCATTATTTAATACAGTGGGACTTTCTTTTTCATAGGCTCAGACTGCACACCTATGTACACACTGGAGGTAGAAAAAGTGGCTGGAATTAGTGGGCTTTGAGCTCTAAAATTTGATCTGCAGAGGAAAAAATATCTATTATTTTTATTTATTCATTCATTTGATTTCTATTCCCACTTTTCCTCCAAGGAGCTCAAGGTGGCATTGATGGTTCCCCAGCACCGCCTCATTTTTATCTTCACAGCAACCCTGTGAGGTAGGTTCAGGTGAGAGGCAGTGCCTGGCCCAAGGTCACCCTGGCTCCTAATCTAACACTTTAACTATTGCACCACACTGGCTATCACTGTGTGGTCAACCCTGAGAAGGAAGTTGACCTTTCTAGTTGACGTCTCCCCACCACGGTGACCATAAGGCTGCTTCTGCCCTATGACAGCCTTTCCCAGCCTGGTGCCCTTTGGATGCTTCAGACCAACTCCCATTTTCCTTGGCCATTGGAAGAGAACCCGCCCCCCCCCCAGCTGACCCGCCTATGAGGCAAGGTGAAGTGCTTGCCTCAGGTGGTGGAAGTGCAAGAGGCAGCGCTCTGTCCACCCCACCACTTCTGCTGCCAAGAGGGATGCATTCTGGCACGTGGCATTGCCACGTCCTCCCCACCCCCAGGCAGACAAATCAAGCAAGTGGCAACACTTTGAGGAGCTCCCCGGCTCCTGAGGAGTTCAGCAAAAGCCAGGACATGGTGTCGAGGAATAGTGCAGAGGGGCAGGAGTTGGCAATTCCTATTTTGCCTCAGGTGGCAGGATGTGCCATCTCTGCACACACACACCCCACACACTCTGATGTAAATAACACCTTATAAATGCAACTTGAAATGCAGTGGTGGGAGATTTCCACACTGCATTTTAAGCCACTAATGTGAACCTAACCTGAAGAAGCGTCTTCACCCCCATCGTCCAGCCTGGACATTGAGGTCCAGCTCCAAGGGCCTTCTGGCAGTTCCCTCACTTCAAGAAGTGAGGTTGCAGGGAAGCAGGCAGAAGGCCTTCTCGGTAGTGGCACCCGCCCTATTGAACGCCCTCCCATCAGATGTTAAGGAAATAAACAACTACCTGACTTTTAAAAGACATCGTGTTTTTAATATTCTGTTGGGAGCTGCCCAGAGTGGCTGGGAAACACAGCCAGATGGGCGGGGTATAAATAATAATATATTATTATTATTATTATTATTATTATTAGGCACTTCTGACCCAGCTAAAAACTTTATAAGCTCACACAAATGGTCATATCACAGTAATGCTGAGCCCCAATCGTTCATGGAGCATGTGGTGAAGGGGGCATAGCATGTGTGTCGTATGATGAAGGTCCCTGGTTTAATCCCAGGCATCCCTAGGACTGAGGGCGGCTGGGCTGTCTGAAACACTGGTGGACTGCCCCCAGTCAGGGTAGACAGTCCTGAGCTGGAGGAATCAGTGGCCTGAGGTGGAATGAGACAGCTTCCTGTGACTCTAGATAGATGATGCATTGTTATGGATAGATTGTAAAAGATACACCATTTGGATCTTGCTGTTTGCTCTCTCACTAAAAGCTGCCCTGCAAAATATTATGAAGTGTTTCTTTCTTCAGTGATGTTGGCTATATAAAAAATTGACTCAGCACACAGAGTTTGGCAAGGATTGTATACAGTGGCAAAGCTTTCGCAGCGTAATGATTAATCAAGTCCTGCACTGTGGTAATCCAACCCTAGAGTACCTAAAGGCCCCTCCCCCCCCAAAAAAATCTGGCATGGATCCCATGTCAGTCAGAGGCTTAGTTCATGAAACTTGGTCATTTCAGTAGGTGAAACTTTTGACTATAACTCTATGCTAGGAAAAGGCTCTGGTATCCAATTTCTCCTGGTTATGTAGGTGTTAAAGGCACAAGAGCCATGGCAGAAAAAAGTTGGCAACACTAGGAATAATAAATAGATGACAGACAGATGATAGATAGATAGATATAGATAGATGATAGATAGATAGATAGATAGATAGATAGATAGATAGATAGATAGAAGGCTTCCTTAACCTCAGCCTACAACTCCCATGATCCCTAGCTAGCAGGACCAGTGGTCAGGGATGATGGGAATTGGAATTGTAGTCTCAAAACATCTGGAGGGCCAAGGCTGAGGAAGCCTGATATAGATGGTAGATGATAGATAGATAGATAGATAGATAGATAGATAGATAGATAGTAGGTAGGTAGATAGATGATAGATAGATAGATAGATAGATAGATAGATAGATAGATAGATGATAGATAGATGATAGATAGATGATATATAGATTACCTCCCCCTTCACACCAGCAGGTCCCAGGAAAAGTTACAACAATTAAACATTAAAAGCAGTTAAAACAGATTACAAGCACAAGACTAGTGTGGGCCTTGAAAGCACACATCTCAGATGTCAAAGTCCAGAGTAAAGAGGTGCATTTTCAGCATTTACCGAAAGCTGTATCATGAGGAAGCCAGGTGCACCTCTGTGGGGAGGGACTTCTACAGTGCAGGGCCTGCCACAAGGACTCTTAGAATCATAGAACTGTAGAGTTGAAAGGGACTACAAGGGTCCTCAATGCCCTCTCCCAGACTGCTGCAACTGACCCTTTGAGGAAGCGCCATAGCTCAATGGGAGAACATCTGCTTTGCATGGAGAAGGTCCCAGGTTCAATCCCTGGTCTCTCCAAGTAGGGATGGCAGAGACCCCCTGTCTGAAACTCTGAAGAGATACTGCCAATCACTGTAGACAATACTGGGCAAGATGGACTGATGGTTGGACTCAGTATAAGGCAGCTTCCTATGTTCCTACCAAGAGGGCCACCCACCTCTGCTGATCTTCACACCTGGGAGAGTCCGTAGAGAAGGAGACAGTCTTTGAGATATTTGGGGCCCAAGACATTCAGGGCTTTAAACGCCAAAGTGCACACTTTGAATTGGACCCAAACATGGACTGGCAGCCATAAAACACAAAACATGGGTGTCTTCTCAACTCCTCATCTAGTAAGGGAAGCTGTAGCTCAAGTGTAAAAACACAACGTTGGTGGCGCTGTGGTCTAAACTACTGAGCCTCTTGGGCTTGCCGATCAGAAGGTCGGCGGTTCAAATCCCTGCGACGGGGTGAGTTCCCATTGCTCCATCCCAGCTTCTGCCAACCTAGCAGTTCGAAAGCATGCCAGTGCAAGTAGATAAATAGGTACCACTGCAGCAAGAAGGTAAACAGCATTTCTGTGCGCTCTGGTTTCCGTCGCGGTGTTCTGTTGTGCCAGAAGCAGTTTAGTCATGCTGGCCACATGGCCTAGAAAGCTGTCTGCGGAGAAATGCCGGCTCCCTCGGCCTGAAAGCGAGATGAGCGCTGCAACCCTATAGTCATCTTTGACTGGACTTAACCATCCAGGGGTCCTTTACCTTTACCTTTTACCTAGCTCAAATGTGCCTCAGATTGAATTTTCTGTAAAGCCTTTTGTAGCAAGGATAATCTTTAGCTGCTCAAGTGTTGCCACAGTGGGACCCTAAATACCAGGTTCTGGCATGGCGGTGAGAGCACCCACAAAGCTCCTAACCCTGCCATGCGATCCAAGCAGAGTCAACGGCAGTTTTCAGAGAGCTTGAGCTTTTGCTTTGTCACATCGCTCCTAGGTGCAGTTCATCGATTCCTTCTCCTGTGTTTGTATCTGGATTGCACCAGGTGAACAGGCAGAGTTCAAAAGTCCCCAGAGCGGCTGCTTTTCTACACAAGTTACAGAAGGTCCTTGGACCTCATGAGCAGCTGGTGTGAAGCTGTAATTACCTTAATTAGCTTTGGGATTGCATTCCATCCCAGTGCCAATTTCGTTTCTACAGTAACCAGACTGAGAGGTGTGTGCGTACCCCAGCAGGAGAAAGCTCTTTCTCTTGCCTGGAAGGAAGATCTGAAAGATTATAAAAGAAACAACAAGGGCGCCGATGCCAAGCTCTCAGCTTTTGAATGGGGCTGCACTGCACAATAATAAACCAAGAAAACTGCCCCCTCCTTGAGCCCAGTGCTGCTCTGAAATAACAGCCACTGCCGGCACCATCAGCAAGTGTTGCTTCCTGTAAATGCACAGCAGCTACTGGATCCATTTTGGTCAGTCATTTGCTGAAAAGTCATGTGGAGGGCCAAGGCCAATTGGATACTATTACCAGCCTGTATTTACCTTTGAAGTATGGTTGCCAGCAGGTTTGGGTTTGGGGGTTTTTGGGACATAGATCCCACACTTTAAAATATGCACAAGAGGTAGGAATCGGACATATTTTGCCTGGCACAGGGCAATGCAGTGGTACCTCGGGTTACATACGCTTCAGGTTACATACACTTCAGGTTACAGACTCTGCTAACCCAGAAATAGTACCTCGGGTTAAGAACTTTGCTTCAGGATGAGAACAGAAATCGCATGGCGGCAGCGGGAGGCCCCATTAGCTAAAGTGGTGCTTCAGGTTAAGAACAGTTTCAGGTTAAGAACGGACCTCCGGAACGAATTAAGTTCTTAACCCGCGGTACCACTGTACAGTGAAGAACACAAGAAGAGCCTGCTAGATCAATGGTCGATCTGGTTCAGCATCCTGTTCTCACTGTGGTCAACCAGATGCTCCTGGGAAGCCCAACAGCAGGATCCGTGCACAAGAGCATTTTCCCCACTTGTGTTTCCCAGCAACTGATATGGAGGTGGAACACAGTCAGGGTGGATGCCAATATTTTTCTGGTCTGGCTCCTGTGCCTTTAAAAGCAACCTGGAATAAAGTTATGTTTCCCTTCACCTCTGTGCCAGGACAATAATGGTGAAATTTCTGCAGGAGAGACAGCCCTTAAAGTCACAGGAATTCTACCAGAAAAGATGTGGGCAAGATATGGTCCATGATGAGGATAGCTTTGCCTGCTGAGCTTCCCCTTCCCCCACCCCTCCATTATGGAGTTAGGAAAGGCATAGGAGTGTGGCCACAACAAGCGAAATTGCCAATCCTTTCTTAAAAGCAAGAATTTCCAGGCATCTCAAAACTGGCAGAGAGAACAAAGCACTTCAGCGGAGGGTTCACTGATCGGAGCTGCTTCTTTGACCTGCTGCTGTTTTCCCCGCTAGGCAAAATTTGGAGAGATGCACAATGTAAATGTTTATATATACAGCAATGCCAGAAGCTTCTAAGCCGATGTGCTTGATGAGCTAAAGTGATTGTTGCTAAAGAAGAGTATATAAATGGTTGGCATATCAGAAAACTGCTAGAAGAACATTGGGGAGGCCTGCTGGGGGTGGGGAGGGAGTATAACTAGAAAATGTGAAAAGATTAAATGCCATCACCAAATCACTGTGAGTCCGGGCAGGGGACATTGCTAAGCACCTAAAAGATTCAGGGCCCATAGGCACAAATCTGCATAAGATCTGCATATGCTAATTCGTATGTACAGCTGCCCATTTGGAATTCAAATGTCGAAGAAGTCAAGCCAACTAATTTCCCATACAAATAACTTCAGATAAATCCTTCAATTAACTTGTACCCCACCCTGGATCACCCCAGACTGGTTCCTCTTTGATTTATTTCCCCATAGATCCTGCTCCATATCCATTCAATTCCCTTTCAGTTACCCACCCACCTCTTCATTAACCTCCAAATCATCTCTGTATATAGCCATCTTAATTTAATTTATTTCGTGGAAAGCTCGTTATAAAGTCAAATAAATAAATAAATACCCATATCAACCCTCGATTCAGCCCCCACCCCCAAAATAATGGCACACTCAGAGGCACATGGGGCTCTCAGAAAAAGTTATGGGAATTACAGTAGGTCCTTTGGGACTACCCCTAGCAGTGTCCCTGGGTCCAGGCATGAAACGTAACTTAATACTGAGAACATACAATACCCCACACCCTCAGCCCAAAGCCAGTGTGATTTCAAGAAAACAAATCAGAACAGAAATTTCAGGGACATGGGGGGGGCATGCAAGGGGAAGAGGCGAAGCCCCATTGTGCAGGAGGAAGAATGGGTTAGGTGGGCCCTGACCAGGGAATATGGTGAGTCTTCCCTCAGGGTAAATATGCAGAGGACTGTACTGAAAGAGAACACAAAATTTAAAAATAACCCCATGCTTCAGGTTGCCAAGAATGCTGCTTGAGCAATTTATACAGCTACCGCTTAGTTCCTTCAAGGAATTCAGGGTTCCATAGATCAGCTCTCCCACTCCACTTCGTTTTATCCTCACAGCAACCTTGCAAGGTAGGCTGAGAGATAAGCGAGCTTCATGAGGCAGCTGCCACTAAAAAGCAAGTCATTTTCCATTAATTTAATTTCTCACTACAGTTTTATCACTGTACAACCAGAGTTGGTTACAAAATGTCTTGGTCTGGCCCTTTCTTTAAATTCTCCAATTAGATGCCATGCACAGGACCAGCCGCAGAGCTGCTTGTCTCCTCCTGCAGCTCATCCCAAGCAAAGCCAGGTGTAGGTGAGTGAATAAAACAAGAGAGAGGCAGATGTCAGGGCTGGATGCAGCCCAAAGGAGCTGCTCACGTGAAGGGCTGCAGCTGCTACTCTTCCGTCTCCCAGGTGGGACAGCTGGCTATTGCAGGCAGGGTCAACGCTATCTTACACCTGGAGGCCAAGAAATATAGGATGGATGGGGAGGTCCTTCCTCTGATTCACCAATTGCACTAATGTCAGTGGAAGTAGGGCAGGGGAACTAATATGTGATTTGTCTCAGACTGGCTAAAGGGGAATTTGGTGAGCATAACATGCCCAAAATAATTTGATCCACTTAACTTTTTGAACAAGCTGTCTTGTGTGTATTTCTCTCTACTTTAAAAAACCTCCACAAGAACTCGGTACTTGTGGTCTTGTGAATAAAGCATGATGCTTTCGCACACAGGAACTGAACCAGAAATAAAAGCAGATAGCCCAAACCTATTCCAGGCCAGAGAGACATTCCTAACAGCCCATTCATACGGTCCTTTCAAACATGATGAAATGACATGGATTTTGTTCTCTGCATGATACCCTGAGCCCCTTTCCCTTCTTGGGAACCTGTATCTCCAAAGGTAGAATGTTCAAGACATTGCCAAACCAGTTCCTTTGTCAAGTTAAGTACCATGATTTAGCATATCCAAAGAAGTTTCCCTGTGCCATGGAACAAATGGTCTTTCCACCACCCTCCTCACCTGGCTGGAACAATAGAGGGTTGGTGTGTGCCTGTGAATTGGAAGCAGGCTGGAAGGATTTCTGACCTTCCTTTTCCTCTCCTTTTCCTGGGCATGTTCCACCAAATCTGTTCTGGGGGTTCTCCCAGCCCTCTGGAGCAGCTTGCGAAGGGTGCAGGGAGAGGGAGAGGAAGTCCTGCCACATGGGTGTAGTTCTTGTGCTGACAGAATGACTTTACTGGATACAACCAATTGATTCTCTTCCTATCTCTTAGAAAATAGTATGAGGTGGAAAAGAAATGAAATTCTCCCCACCCCACCCCATGTAATAAACTTCCTGATAGCAGCAGAGGATTCCAAGTATGCAGCGCTTACCCATATTTGCTTTCCTTTGGAAGGAGGTCACTGGAGACTTATTGGTGTTTTGGAATATTTTAGGGTATTTACAAATAAGCAGGTTGGGCATAAGTGGAGGCACAGCTTGAACTCTTCTACATCAGATCTCCAGAGAGAAGCAGCAAGATTAGAAGCCAGCTGATTTCTG